CCCCTCAAATTTCTTGTCACTTAGACGTGTGTAACTTGTGAAATATTTATGAGCCATTTGGAAAATTAATGAACTCACACTCAGCGCACTCAAATTGAATCCCAATGAAAAAAGAAGAAGAAGAAATTAATAGCATCATATTTTTCTGGGTTAAGAATAGAAATGCATTGATTTATTGTACGCATGCGTTAGAGCATTTGCAATAATGTGGAAAACAGGTGACAGGGACGAGGCTGTCACAGGCCCAATTAATTAGGACTTGCGTAAACGTAATTACCATCATCAAAAGTACATGTCATAACCCTTTGCTGCCCCGTTAAGCTAAGCAAACACACTACTAATTTTTTGTTGCTTTCCCTATGTGAAGGATCATTAGTGAGAATCAATCATGATGATGGTGCATGGACATATTCGATACGTTACATTAAATTTATCTAGTTTATGCTTAGTTCAACTATAAAATTTGATTTTTATCTAAATCAAACAAGGGCCTAATTTAACATACCAATCATGACGTTTTTTAAAACATCAACTTGATCCTTTACTCGTCTCTACTCGATCGAATCAGTTTGTACAAACCATGTGCGCATATATAATTTATTCTTGTTCTCTGGTCTTCTCTATTATTCTTTTACTCAAGGATTTACATGACCTCATATTTTGTTAATTATTTGATGTTCATCAACTCCCTTCCTTTGAAGCCACCTCATAGACAAAGATTCAAATTCAAGCAAACAAGCCACATTACAACCTATAAAAGCAAGCCCATGTCTGCACACCTGTATTCACGCTCGAAACCTTAGCTCCCCCAAAATGACTAATTTGGTACTCTTTGTCATTCTTTCATTGGTCTCCATTTCTAGAGCTGAGGATCGAGCTCACGGGCTCAAGAATGAGAGTCCCATGGCCCTCTCTCCACAAGCATACGCATTTTTCCACCCTCAGAACACGCAACCGCCGAGCTCGAACCCCCCGTGTCATTCATCAGATTGCTCGTCACTGGTTGTGTCTGCAACGGTGAAATCTACTCCGGCGCATGAAAGCGTAGCATCAGGAGGGAATCGATTAGAAACCAGTTGTCTTGCTGGGATTCCATTCAGTTTTTGGTTCACAAGTCTCGTAATTTTACTATGTTGTGGACATCCTAACTTGCACCGAGCTAATCCTGAGCAGCCAGAGGCATGGAATGTCTGTAGTAACTAATCATCTTCTTGCTCACTTTATTTGGTTTGAATTATTAGATTGTATTTATGGAATTAATCATCCATCTACTTTTGGTCCATTCAATTATGACACTATAGCAGTGGGAACACTGTCATTATATAATGTAAATTTATGGATGTTTACTTTAAAAAAGAAACAGTTTGTAGTAATACTGTTTCGCGCGGGTAGTCGCTAACAATTAAAAAGGGATCAGACGATTGTGTAAGTGACAAACCTCTTGAGACAAAGTCCCAAAAAGGGGTGTTTTATTGATAATGACTTTACAATTGGAACTTAAATAGAAATGCCTCCAAGGGGCGCAAGCACACGAGTATTAAAAAAAATGTTTTAAATCTAAACTAAGAAATTGAAATTACATATTCTCTGTTTGAGAGTGTTTGATTCGGGGGTCTTTTGCTCTATGTCTTTTATTCCTTTTATATTCCTTTGATGCTCTCTTTGTGATCAACCGTTTAATTGCTTTATAACTGCCCATTTTTTTCATGGTGGCCAACTTATCATGGAACTGCCGTTTCTAATTGCTGCCATTACTCTTTGTCGTTCAACCGTCCTCAACTGAACATCCTTGAATCGTAGAACGTGATAAGATTACCCAATAACTGCTTCAATAATTTCACTTTTGGATAACCATAACATCTCATGTTTGCTAAGATCTTGGGCGATTCGAAGGTTTGGGCGAGAACTGGGTCATAATTCTGGGCGACTGCAAGTCACTTCATTCGCTCAGATCCTGGGCGTCTTGTAAGTTTGGGCGATGGTGTTACTGCGTTCGTGGACTTCCACTGCATTCATTAATAACCCTATTTGGGCCTTTATCTTGAATTGCCCAGTTGAGCTTCATTCTTTAGGCTATTTGAATTGGGCTGCACTTTTAGCATGTCAACAATTACCCTCCAATATGGCAGAATTAATACAAATTATTAATTTTTACCATATTAACTTTGTGTTTCCCAGCAACATTTGAAACTCCCAAGAATTTCAATCATTATTTTCTTCCATATCCTGAAAAGGTGCAACGTTGCAAACCCTTATAACCCCCAAATACACGTCATTTTATCGCACTACTAAATCATGCCTCATTACTTCGCGCTTCTCTCTCGCAATATTACTATTCATCTTCTTGCTTCTCTACTACGTTTCTCAAGCAAATTTCAACAAAGCTTTATTTCGTTCCTAATGGCTGCTTCACAATCCAATCTAGTGACTCTTTCAGTTTCAAAGACTTCCAGAAACTCCTCACTCGACCATATATATCTCCTAACTTCCTTGCACCAGCCAATGCCGAACTCAACGAGTTCTATCTAGGTCCCTCATTCAACAACGCCGAGGTCGTCGAACAAGTGGCAGTGGGCCAACTGTTCCCTTGTATTCAAGGCCCTCCGTTTCTAAACTTTTTGCCGTTGAGGTCGCTTCGCGAAAGAGGTATTCGTACTTGACCTAAATCTGATGTTATTTTCCATAGATGGCATGCTCGCCTTGTAGACCATGGTCCTACTAAGGTAATTTTTGATAATGTTAGGATTTCTGATTTGCTAGAAATCTCTCTTCAACCCCCTATTTTTGATTCAGCGCTTTTTCCTATTGCATTAAGTTTTTGGTCCTCTGAGTATAATACTTTTGTTTTCCCTCTTGGTCCCATGTCCATTACTTTAAGGGATGTTGGGGCCTTAGTAAATTTGTCACATTTGGGCGATACCATTTTCCCTCGTATTTTGATTTCTGGTGTCGCCCCAAAATTTGAAAAAAAACTCACCGAGTCCTATTTAAGCCTGCAAGGCTATTATAATCACTCGAGCGCTGAGTCTTCTCATACTGAGCGTGTGACTTTTCTTCAAATTTGGCTTTGTAAATATATTCTGTGTGTGTCAAGCCTAAAGCCTTCTATGAGCTATTTACCCATAGCGCACAAATTGGCGCGTGGTAGGCCTCTGAATTTGTGTTCTTTCTTTTTGGCCGCCCTCTATAGAGGCATGACTTCTCTCCAATTCCAATTGAAGAATGGTGCATCTCCCACTGGCAGTGGGCCTCTTTGATTCACTCAAATGTGGTTGAGAGCCTATTTTCCATCACTTGGTGCTCTATCCCTTTCCCTTCATTCTGCTAGTTGTTTTGGGCTAGCTATTGACCCACTGAGCCTGTACATATGTCCAAAAGGGATATTTTTTCATTCTTTTATACTTTGAATTCAATTCCTTCTTTCTTTCCTTTCCCTCCCTTTTTAACTCCTGATTATGTGCATCCCCCATCTACCCTAGACAATGCGAGCACCTCTCTACTCGTTTGGGTTCAGTTTTTGACAGGGAGGGAGTTGTTCCATGATATTTTGACTGGAACTAATGCCAAAGCTGGGGTTGAAATATATGCTCCCCAATTTTTTGCTCGTCAACTTGGTTTCGGCCAAACTTGGCCTAGAAACTTTTGCAATTCTTTTTTGTTGCTAGGTGATTTGGCCTCTAAAATGGCCTTCGCTTTATTTTTATTAAGTTCAATCCCCCTTTTGTGTACTAAGAAATCAAGAAAATTCCCTGCATTAACATCAAATGCACATTTCAATAGATTCAACTTTAGTTTATATTACTTCATTTGCTCAAATCAAGGTCTTAATTGTTCAAAATGGTCCTCTTCTTTAAGGGATTTGACCACTATATTATCTACATACACTTCAATAAACTTGCCTATCATATCATGAAAAAATAAATTTATTGCCTTTTGATAAGTTGCTCCTACATTTTTCAGGCCGAAAGGTATAACTACCCATTCAAAACATCCTAGAGACCCAGGGCATCTAAAGGCAGTTTTGTGTATATCTTTCTCAACTATGTAAATTTGATTTTATCCTGAATACCCATCCATGAAGGAATACATCACATGTCCGGCAGTTGAGTCTACTAAAGAATCTACCGTGGGCATTGGATATTCATCTTTAGGTGTGACTATGTTTAAATTCCTAGAGTCTATGCACACTCTTAGTTTACCATTCTTTTTTAATATTGGCATGATATTGGACAACCATTTAACATATCTGGCCGTTCTAATAAAACACGCTTTTAGTAATCGCTCTATCTCGTCCTTAATTTCAGGGAGTACATTAGGAGCGAAACGCCTAGGAGGTTGCCTATGGGGTTTAAAATTAGGCTTGGTTGGTAATCTATGTTCCACCAAATCTCTATCTAAACAAGGGATATGTTCATATTCCCAAACAAAACAATCTTTGTACTCCTTTAATAAAGCGATTAATTTATCACTAACCTCTTGATTGAGCATTTGGTTGATGAACGTTGGACGATCTTCTCCTTAATTGCCAATATTCACTTTAAGCAGGGGGTCTTGTGCTTGAGTGTATCCAGGCTTGGCGACCCTTATCACTACGTCGTCCAGTTCCCTTGTAAGCACTTCTTCTTCTAAACAATCCACCTTGTTGACTTCTCGACCAATATTTTGTTCCAACTCGAACACTGCCAATTTGTCTCTCAATGCTTTCAAGGCTGCTGCTTCTTTCGTCTTGTCCATGCATTCTTCATTGAAAGCCATTAATTTGGCTTTGAAGGCCTAAATATCGGCCATTTGTCTTCGTTGCTTACAACTCATTTAAAACTCCTTGATTATTCTTTTGCCAATTACTGGCTCCTCCAGGGCCACTATGTTTGGCCTCATCTGACTGAACATTTCAGTGAGTGCATCCACCGAAAATAGTTCTTCACTCTGCGCGGCGATCTGAGTTTCTTCTCCATCCTGGACTACTCTGACAGGTCCATAATTTCCTTCGTACATGAACCTTTCCATTGAATTTGCTTCTGTGACAAAAGGCCTATGATCGGCCTGCACCACCTCGGCTTCGCCCTTGTCATTCCAAAAAACTAGGCATTGATGGAGCGATGAAGGTATACAGCGACTTCCATGTATCCAATCTCTTCCTAATAACACATTGTAACTAGTGGGACCATCTATTACAAAGAAGACAGTGGTCCTAGTAGTTGTTCCTATAGTTATGTCCAATAGCATAACCCCTTTAGCTGAAGTTGCTCCTCCATTGAAACTTGTCAGGATGACTTCCATTGGGATCATATCACCTTCTCTCTTTGCGAATTTCCTCATCATCCTAGATGGAATGTTATTTATAGCTGCTCCATTATCGACAAGCACTTTTGCCACAGGTATGCCGTTAACTAGAGCTTTAACGTACAATGGCCTCAAGTGTTTGGTCAATTTCATGGTTGGTCGCTTAAAAATAACTTTTTTGGCAGCACCTATTTCTACTTCCTGTTTGTCCTTTGTTGAATTAACCTTTTGTGATAAGTCAACGTGCAGCATATCGCACTGAGCATCTGTCTCCTGAATTTCCTTTTTACTGTTTTCTAATGCTTCTTCTTCAGTTACATAACCTGTGGGAGGAGGCATTATTCTTGGAGGTGATCCATACTTTTCAGAGAGAGGCACTCTCTTCTTTCTTTTGGGTGTCCCGTACAACACGTAAAAATCAAAAGAACGCCCAGATGGTTCTCCCAATAAGTCTACTTCATGAACTTCCTCTCGATATAATTGCTTCAACAGAGTATTGTACGATACTCCTCTTCTTTCCGCTTCCAGATCGATTTCCTCCTCGATGTCTGTCATACCATCATCTTCTTCACCATTGTAGGCCTCTCTAGAAGTTTGGCCTTCTTCATATTCCAACATGCATGCTTCCTCTTCGTTATCCTCCTTTTCTTCTTCTCCTTTCTCTTTATTCTTGAACTCATTAGCTAGTAAATAGTTATTAGCCACAACGGGAGGTAATGTACCAAATTGGATAGTAAGGGGCTGATCTGGATGTTCTCCATCCCCTCTGTCTCGCTCAAACTTCGACCTCCCAGAAGAAGTCTTTGGCAATTCTTCCATAGGTTCGCCTGTACCAGTCTCTTCACTGTCTTTGAGAACATTCTGATTAGCAGCTTTGAGTAGTCGAGGTGCCTTAGGACGCAACATTACCTGTTGTTACCTCATCATTCACCTGTAGTTCCGTTGAAAATGCATTTGTTGGGTTCTAGTCATCTCATTGAAAGGTATCGCCCTTCCAGCCTCATACTGGAAAGAATGCCATACATTTGGTTGGCGAGCTTGCGTTTTGAATGTTCTCCCATTATTTACTACCCTGAACTGCCTCTCAAAAGGAG